CTGACTCCGTAAATTATTGATGATGCATTCTGTGCATGGGTCACTTAAGCGTTAAGTTGCAGAAAAAAACATACATGTTCTTTGTCATGCGTGTTTACTCTGTCAGACAGATCAGGCACTGTCCTTTGGTGATATCTCCTCCAGCAGAATGAGCTGGGGATAGAACTTTTATACCGTTTTGTGCAAGGAAAGGACACTTGTGGACTCTGACCGTTTGAGAGGCTGAAGTTTGTTTTAATCACTTTAACAGTGTTAGAACTCAGTGAAGTAATTACAGAAGTAATTTACTGCTATTCAGAGGACTAGTGTAAACCCTGTGCAGTAGTTAAATTTTATTTAAATCCCTAAAGGAGAGCTTAGGTGGAACTGAAGGGGTACCTAAATTGCATACGTGGCCATTGCCTCTATTGTATTTAGAGCTACATTTCTCAAAAGGCCAACCCTTCCTTCCTTCTTTCCTTTGCCCCTTCATAGGGACATGCACTATGCATAAATGTGCATTATTTTGCATAGAACATACATATTTGCATAATATTACATAAGCACAGGGCCTGTTTTCCCTTAACACCCACTTGAGGCATTCAGCATTTCCATTTCATACCTCGCCATTCTATGTGCAGCTCTATTCATTCCCCAGCCTTTCTATCCACCCACTCACTCCTCAGCCTCAATCCCCTGTTCCCTGTGCAAGCTCACTCAGCACGCATTCACCTGTTTGTTTTACGTATGCCATATACTCCCTAATTGGAGAAACTGGTAGCAGCTCCATCTGCGTGTGCACCCTTCCTCTAGTCCTTTATACAACAGGCAGAGGATGCTGGTATGTGTGTGGGAGGTGTTGAGAAGGGGAGGGAGCCGAGCTAAGGAGGTCCCAGTACACATACGTGTATTTATAGTGGGAAAAAGTACGTGAAGAAGCCTGGAAAAGGCAGTGCAGGCCATACTGCACAGGAGCGCTGCAGGTCAGGAGACTGTCGGCCCAGGGAGAGTCTGGGGAACAGGGTTTAGTCTCAACACTGCCTTTTCTCAGGAGGCTACAGCAGCTTCAGGGTGCAGTGCAGCTGTGCACGGCCTCTTCCTCCTCTTCTGCCCTGCCCTGGGAGTGTGGAGGAGGTGGGATTGCAGTGCAGGCTCTGCAAGCTCCCTGCTCCATGGGGAAGAAGGAACTCCAGCCTTCTGCCTTCCACAGTGTCAGTCACTGCCTGTGCTTGGGTGAATATGGAAATATGAACTCCCTCTGCTCCTCCTCAGAGCTTTTGATGCTTTTTGACTCTCTCCCTCTCACCCCAATACCTTGCACGTACTCTCCAGTTTGAGTGCCACCTATCTCAAATAGGTTAAACACCCAACACTATCCAATTTGACATTCACTTTTAACCCACCAGATATAACAGTGTGTTGATGCATAGCTGTTAGTATATTTTCAAATTACCTGTGCATCAGTCAGTTTTGATTATGCAGTTGATCCTGAGGAGCTGTAACTCTGGTTTCACCCACACTGAATGCTAAATGCAAAGTGCTTTGACACTCAGGAGCTCTAATTTCCCTATCAAGACATCTGTTGTCATTGAAAGGGAAAGTAGATTTGGCATAAGGCATTTATTTATTGCTTACCAGTTTCAGTGACTGTTAGATGTCTAGGCAGAGCTTTATTTAGGAGAAAGTTCATGATACAAGCAAGATCATTTTTGTGGGGAAAAAGAAAACAACAAACACCTCACAACAAAAAAAGTTTAAACTACAGCAAAGCCATTAAATAGCGTAGTGTAGAGAAGGGGAGGAAAATATTCTTTAACAGAGTAAAGAAGTCTAAGAGCACGTTTGCTAGAGACAGTAGTAATATTGCTACATTATAGAATCATAGAATGGTTTGGGTTGGAAGGGACCTCAGAGATCATCTAGTTCCAACCCCCCTGCCATGGGCAGGGACACCCTCCACTACACCAGATTGCTCAATGCCTCATCCACCCTGGCCTTGAACACTTACAGGGATGAGGCAGCCACAACTTCTCTGGGTAACCTGTTCCAGTGCCTCACCACCCTCTGAGTGAAAAATTTCTTCCTTATATCTGATCTAAATCTCCCCTCTTTCAGTTTAAATCCATTGCCTCTTGTCTTCTCACTACACACCCTTGTAAAAAGTCCCTCTCCAGCTTTCCTGTAGGCCTCTTTTAAGTACTGGAAGGCTGCAATAAGATCACCCCAGAGCCTTCTCTTCTTCAGGCTGAATAGCCCCAACTCTCTCAGCCTGTCATAGGAGAGGTGCTCCAGCCCTCGGATCATCTTCATGACCCTCCTCTGGACTTGTTCCAGCAGCTCCATGTCCTTCTTGTGCTGGGGACTCCAGAGCTGAACGCAGTATTGCAGGTGGGGTCTCATGAGAGCAGAGTAGAGGGGCAGAATCCCCTCCCTCAACCTGCTGGCCACGCTGCTTTTGATGCAGCCCAGGACACGGTTGGCTTTCTGGGCTGCCAGCACACATTGCCGGCTCATGTTGAGCTTCTCATCCACCAGCACTCCCAAGTCCTTTTCCTCAGGGCTGCTCTCAATCCATTCTCCGCCCAGCCTGTACTTGTGCTTGGGATTGCCCCGACCCACGTGCAGGACCCTGCACTTGGCCTTTTTGAACTCTGTGAGGTTTGCATGGGCCCGACCCTGAAGCCTTTCAACGTCCCTGGATGGCATCTCTTCCCTCCAGCATGTTGACAGCACCACACAGCTTGGTGTCGTCAGCAGGCTTGCTGAGGGTGCACTCGATCCCGCTGTCCATGTTGCTGACAAAGATATTAAACAGCACTGGCCCCAATACCAATGGCTGAAGAATGACACTCGTCACTGGTCTCCACTTGGGCATCAAGCTGTTGACCACAACTTTTTGAGTGTGACCATCCAGCCAATTCCTTATCCACCGAGTGACCTCTCCATCAAAACCATGTATTTCCAGTTTAGAGGCAAGGATGTCATGTGGGACAGTATCAAATGCTTTGGATAAGTCCAGGTAGACGATGTCAGTTGCTCTTCCCCTATCCATCAGTGCTGTAACCTCATCCTAGAAGGCCACCAAATTAGTCAGGCAGGATTTGCCCTTAGTGAAGCCATGTTGGCTGTCACCAATCACCTCCTTATTTTACATGTGTTATTGTACAAAACATGAAAAAACTTTTTTTATCAGAGGTTTCCCTTTCTCCTAAAGGTACTGTCTCTGGTTTTGATCTAATCAGTAAGACTTAAAGACCAGTCACTCGAAAAACTGGCAACAGAGGTAAAAGACACACTTCAAGCACTGAAAGAATTCATAGCTCACATTAGTTAACTATTGGAATAGACTGATGTTGACCTTGGTTCAGTAGCCACAGGCAAAGTAAAAACATTTTATTGCAGAAGTGCTGAATAGTCTCAGAATAAAGCATACATAGGGTTTGTTGCTTCTGTGACTGAGCTATACCGAATATATGAATGGACCAAGCATGTCTGTACTGATACACTGGGTTAGTTTATAAAATACTTCCAAGTAAAGTGATTGGTTGTGGCAGTGAAATAAACACCTGCTTTCTCTGAAATTCTATTTTAACTGTATCTAACAAAAGCTGTCAAAAAATCAAACCAAGCAGTCTATGCTTTTGCAGGTATTGCAAATAGTATTGGTGTTAGAAGTAGTACCATCTCCATGTTTTTCTTCTGTTGCCGTTAGAATAAAAGTACAGCTTCTAGAAGTGTACTTGTACAGAAGCATTATGCAAAACTCAGATTTTTTGATGTGTGAGCCTGTTATACATTGTTGGCATGGCAGGTTTGGTTCGGCAATATTGAAGAGAAAAAAAGCCGGTGTGTGCGTGAGCATCACTTTTTGAATACTGGAGAGATTGCGTTTATCATCAATAGGTGTATTCCCTTGGGCTTATTCCTGACACAGTCTACTGTGTAGGTATGTGTTGTGAGCTTTTAACAGAATTCGGGTGAATTCGGAGTCCTAATCGTCCCCTCCTGGTGCTTCAGTTAAGTTCCCGGATTCTGGTCTGAGTGACACAACAGGAAACCCAACCTGTACAAGCTCTCAAGTTGCATCGTGGTGAATTTATGGAAGAAATAGGTGCATTTTCTTTGGATAGACTTCTCTTCCAAAATATTGAGTCACCAAATGTACTTCTTCGTATCCAGGTCCCCTCAAAATACTACTTACTTAGGTAACGTAGCTTTTAAATAAGCCTGTGTATGTCTATGTGATAGACATACAAAAAATAACTGGCAGAAGGTAAGCCAGAGTTGATTTAAAATGCGTGTTAAAAACCACGTGATTTGGAACTGCCAGGTCAGGAACATCGTATAGAGCCACTGTCACTGAAAACCAGCATTAACAGTGTGATGCAGTGTGAGAAAAGAGCTCTACCACCCCTTCGAGCTACACTTAGGGATCTGCACCAGGACTAGGGAACTGGGCTCTTGGCTGACTCCCTGTTTCCAAACGCGTTTTTCAGATTTGGTGTCACTTCAGTTTCAGCTGTAACTGAAGTTGCATCTGCTTGGGAGGTTTGAGTTGAGCTCGTTCTTCTACCAGAGCTCCTTGTCGCAGATCTTTATGAATATTTAGACAATTACTGACTAATCTTTTGACCTTTTGTCTGCATCATTGTTCTTTAACAGTATAATACAAAGTCAGTGGTGTTATAGGAGAAAGGCAGAGGACCTTCTGGGAAAGTCTCCTACCAACAGTGGTCAAACAACCCTGCAGTGAAGCGTTCTTTGCCCTGCTTTCCCTGTCGGAGAGGGAGATTGAGGCATCAAATAACTGGCTCATTCCTGACCAGCCATATAAGGAGCTGCAATGAAATGATGCTTTCCACCTCAACTTCTAGTCCAATAATATTGCACGTGATTTTGATGTGTAGTTATGTTCTGCGGCTCCTTTTTAGAAGTAGTAGGATTAGTCTCACATCTTTCTTATTTTTCCTTCTCCTCAGCTGATGAGATCTGTATCTATAACATAACTTTCCTTTTGACAGGTAATTGGAAAGGATGATGTAGCTGTGCCATCCCACCTATACAAGGTGATCCTTGCCAGACGGAGCAGAAGGTCCACAGAGCCCTTGGTACTGGGAGCTTTTGTGGTGCCAAACAATCCCATAGGCTTCAGTCACCAGCTGACGGAGTTCCAAGTGGACATTGAAGATCTGGAAAAAATGTCAGGTTTAGTTTTCTTCCCCCAAGTGGACAAAACCAAAGATGTTAAAAACATCTGTGAGGTGGATACCTGCAAACTGATGGGCTTCAAGGAGTTTACGTTGTACATCACTGCTCGAAAAGTGCAGAGTGCCCGTACATTACACCGGTTGGAGAAAGCCATGTCAGAGTTAAGCGAGGCAGGAATTGAGCCTGATGAATATCTTCTAGAGCTTCACAAGAAGAAGGAAGAAGAACTGCTCCGGGAAAAACAAGTAGCAGCTGGAGAGGGGAAAGCTGGCTGAGTGCTTGTTCGGGAAGAAGTTTGGGGTTTTGTACTTTGAAAGGGAACCTGAAGGCAAACACGAAGACAAGGGCTCTATGAATTATCCTTTTTTGAATTGTGAAAACAATAAAGAAACATTTGGAAGCTGATGAGTGTGGAATGACGTTCATTCTCGTGTAACATGATGCACACACGTGGTTTGCTGCACTAAGTAGATGTGGGGAATGAAAAGGGCCTCTTTCTGGTATGAATAGATTACTGGACCTCCAGAAAAGGCTTTGTGCTATTTTGCAAGTGAGACGTCAGACTTGTATGGAATCCCTTCTAGGAATATTGTAAAAATAGACAATAGACACCTTGGGAGTATAACCGGAACATATTTAAATGTAATTCTGCCTGCAAATGACTTTCAGTATGATGCTATAGAAGCAATGGTACTTTCTGGGATTTTTTAAAATTAAATTAATTTAGATTTTTTTTTATTTAACACTGTTTTATGAGAGACCTGTAAGGCTTAATCTGAATCCTTTAGTCTTCACTTAGTTGTGTTAAACAAACCAGGTCATCTCCTCTCTCACCTCTCCTGACCTTGAGTGCTTGGGATACTTTAGCATGTCAATAGCTGTCAACCTGTTGTCATTTGAAACAGGCTGCTTCCATTCATGTCTAATTCTGCAATTGTTTTTTTAAAAACAATGGAAGCAGTTTACACAAGTTGCTACCAGTGTAGATTGGGTCTGCATAAATTAATGTAAGCTTAATATTTCACTTTCACCACTAAGTTTGGATAAACATGTTTTCTTGCCTATTTTTTTGCTTTGGGGTTGTCATGGTTTGATGTGGAGGGGGGAGTG